AAGTCTGTGAATATAACAAAAAACACTGAATGGTACACTTTAAAGGAGTGAATTTTATGGCATGTGAGTTATTCAAGCTGTTATTAAAAAGAAGAAACTTGCCCAAGGTCACAAGGCTAGTAAATGGCAGCCCCCAGATTCAAACCCAGGTCTGTTTGATTCCAGAACCTGTGCTCTCAACCATTATGTAGCTCTGATTACTGTTACTCCCTAAAACATTTGCTGAGGACACCAGCAAATTTAATGGTAGGTGATATGGGCTTTGGCATAATTCCAATCACAAGTATGAAGGAGACAAACATTGGACTCCCCAGGACTTCCGAGGATCGATACACATTAAGCATTGTTAACCTAGTAAACCTTTTTAAACATTCTGAACTTGGAAAAACAGTTATTCTAGAAGAAAAACAAAACAAAATTGAAAAGGGGAGTATCCTAAAAGGAAAATGACAAAAGTCCTATGAGGCCACGGCAAGGATTTTTTGGGCTAAGTAAAATGTAAATCCAACGGTATGACGTCCATGCTTACTGCCCTCCAATGGCTTCCCACCAAACACATCTCCACGGATGATGGCCCTTCATGATCCAGCTACGTGGCTTCCTCTCTGACCTCATCTCAGCCTGCCTCCACTGCACTTACTGTCCCCACTGTCCTCAGCTTTCCAGCTTTGGTGGTGGCTCATCTTTGACAATCAGTTTCAGCTCAGTGTCCCTCCTCTGACAGACCTTCTGGCTTCTGTAACATCCAAATCATGTTAGCCACCCCCACGTGCTGTCCCTCTGATCACATATGATCTGTCTTTATTTAGTGAACAAAGCTCCATGGTGGGAGGTGGGGACCCCACTGCGGTCCCAGGCATACAACAGATGCTTGCTCAACATTTGGTGAACAAACCAATAAAACACACATCTCTGCCATGAGATGCCTCAGCAAGCCAGGACCTCACTTGTCCAAACTATAAAAGCACAGAATCAAAAAGACTCCCCTCTCAGGAACCCACCTCAGGGTAGTCTTCACAAGCTGGTAGTCCAGGCCTGGTGAGCTCATTAACCATTTAGATTCTATGGCCACTGCTTCGATTAGTTTATGTTGATAACCATATGCTTTCTTTCCTTCACCCAGATTACATACTTACCATATACTTTTTTCCTTTTCCATTCTCCAACAATTTTAAATTGTTTAAGCAGTGTGGCCACTCCATGATGGATATGAGATCCCTCTTTCCTCAAAAGCTCTTTCAGTTCCTCTGACTGATTTAAAAATTCTCCTTATTCTAACCCCAGCCATTGAAAGTCATTTAAACTAGAGATGTACCCTGGTTCACACACATCATACTCATACAATTCCCCCATCTCTAGGTCATACCAGAATCGCACACTCATGCTGAGCTCAGAAGGTGCGAGACTCTGCACAAGGAGATACCGCAGGAGTACAGACAGCTCTCATGCCTCCCTCCCACTGCATTTACTTTTCCCTACAGAGACCTCCATTTTCTCCCAGTTCAGTCCCTAAGCCTCCACCTGACCTCATCTACCTTCTTGCCCAACCCAGATCTTGATACTTAACTACCCAAGTTATTCACCAGTATTCAAAGAGCTGTGTCTCCACTCTTCTTCCCCTGTGCTACCAGCAGAAAATCTGAGCCTTGATCCACAATCTGCCTCCTTTCCTTCCCTCACATGCTGCAGTGATGGAGTGACCCAGGTTTAGGAAAAAAAGAAAAAAAAAAACACCATCAGGAAGAATGACTCAAAGACCGACACATAACATCATTTCTGACAACGGCTGCTCATACATTCTTCAACACAACCTTGGTAAGCTTCTTCACACATCCCTCCCAGCAATTAGCCTAAATGTTCATCATTTTCCTCAAGCCTCAACCCACCCTCCCTGACCATCACAATCCCTATGGCAAATAATGCTGTCCTCAAGAAGGAAATCTCAAGAGGCATTTCCTGAATGCCATCCCTTCACCTGCAAATCTATCTCTACCTGTACACACCCACAGTTTGGGAGTGAACTGTCCCTCCTGGTTCAAAACTACATTCTGCCCTTGTGCTGTTGATCTCATCTCAGTCTCTGTCGCTTCATGGGTTCCTCTTCCTCTCCTCAACTCTTAACTATCCTCCCAGTTATGTTCTTGTTCTAACTACCCTCCCTGGGAAATCTCATTCACAACCATGCTGGTCATTAACATTATATGGAAATAACTCTCTACAATCCCCAGCCCCCATCTCTTCCCTGAGCTTCAGATTGTTACATCCACCTACCTCTTAGACATGGCCTCATGTATGTCCCAAACCCCTCAGTCACTTCCGATTTCACCTCCTTTTCTCTTCACCATTTAGCCAGTTGTTCCTTGTGCTGCCCATCTCAGCTGGGTACAACATTCTACCTAGCTATCCGATCAAGCCACCTGTCAACTTTAACTCTTCTTTCTGCCTTGTCATCCACATCAAAGCAATCCTGATGATTTTTATCAACTGAAGATTTCTTTTTTATTTTATTTTATTATGTTAATCACCATACATTACACCATTAGTTTTTGACGTAGTGTTCCATGATTCACTGTTTGCGTATAACACCCAGTGCTCCACACAGTATGTGCCCTCTTTAATACCCATCACCAGGCTAACCCATCCCCCCACCCCTCTCCCCTCTAGAACCCTCAGTTTGTTTCTCAGAGTCCATAGTCTCTCATGGCTCGTCTCCCCCTCCGATTTCCCCCCCTTCATTTTTCCCTTCCTGTCTTTTTTTTTAATATATAATGTATTATTTGTTTCAGAGGTACAGGTCTGTGATTCAACAGTCTTACACAATTCACAGCGCTCACCATAGCACATACCCTCCCCAATGTCTATCACCCAGCCACCCCATCCCTCCCACCCCCCACCACTCCAGCAACCCTCAGTTTGTTTCCTGAGATTAAGAATTCCTCATATCAGTGAGATCATATGATACGTCTTTCTCTGATTGACTTATTTCGCTTAGCATAATACCCTCTAGTTCCATCCATGTCGTGAGGGACCACATCAACTGAAGATTTCTTGAGCGCATTCCCTCTCCATGCCTCTTAGCACTTTCTGAGAACAGAACTTCTGTTTATTACCCTTACTTCATTTTTCAGACTCCAGGAGATAATGGCGAAGCTCTTAAGCACGACATACAAGATCTTCCATGACTTGAGCTATCCCTGGGCCTACCTATCCTGACTTATGTCCCTCTGCCTCAACCTTGTAATTTACCATGAAGTTCAATGAAAATCTCATGCTTCCTTAACGTGCCACACAGCAACCTGTGCCTGCCTCCTTAGTATACACTCTTTCCTCTATCTAGACACAACTCTCCATTTCCTCCCCCTTCCCGCCCATCCCCAACAATTCTCCTCCTCATGAACTCCTGCCCTCCAAGATTTAGCTCAACCATCACCATTTCCAGGATGACTTTTCACACTACTCCTGCCTGCAGAGCTGCCTCTTTAGTGCTCCCATAGCACCCCATGTTTATCTCTAGCACAACAAATCTCACACAAATCTCTTCTAAAATTCTCTATTTATCTATCAACGTTTCCCAACTAGACTATAAGTTCCTCAGGGCAAGGGCCACTCAGAGTAGGTGCTCAACTTGATTCCTCTGCATGTTAAATACTAGTGGTAAATAATGTTCTGAGGTGTCTTCAGACCTCTATGTCCAATGGACATCCCATGTAAGCCTTCCTCAGTTATGTGACTGGGGAGCTCTGTTGTGGCCGTGATGTCTTCATGTTCAAAACACATGGCGATGTTGGTTGCTATCACCACCCTTTAGTCTGGAATGAGTCTCCATTGCAGTAAGAGTTAAAGGAATAGAGGGCCTTAAACAAACTAAAATTAGCCATTCCTTGCTACTCAACACTGTCTAAGGTTTGGCAAGACAAATCTCTTGGGCAGGTACAGTGCTGACACAGCAGAGTGAAAAGACATTCAACCAATGCTCAGCAGACTCAAAGAGGAAAACCTGCAACACCTTTACCACAGGAAACTCTGAGTTCTGCTGACTCATTCTGACTTAAAGCTGCAATAACACTTGAGTAAGGAGCACCCAGGCTGACTCTGCATTTTTTTTCTGCAGAGCTCACAGAATTTGGCATACAAGAAATTTAATAGTTGTTCTTTATATTCCTTTGTATTTTTTCAGATATTGACTGTGGTCACCTACATTATAGTGTCTGATAGTACTACATGGTATTTTTCTGGCAAAGATGCAGTCCTAGTCAAAATACTGCTAAGAATTTAAAATACTGACTGGAGCTCCCTCAGCTACAGAAAACCATACAGGAAATCTCTTTCACCAAAGAAAGGCTCATTTAGAGGCTAAAAAGTCCTGCTTAAGTAAATAGCTCTCGTTCGTGCTTTGTACAAAGATATCTGTACAACTGGTTCCAACTTAGGAAACAGCATTTAAATATCAACATAAACACATGCTCAGAGAAAAACTGGGTAAATTTTTATCAGGACCAAATTTCTAAGAAACTGTATTAAAGAAAATTATGAAGCAAAGAACCTTCTCAACATCAGTATTGCAAGTTATTCTCTTCTTTGTTCTTTGTACAGAAGCTATGTGAATTGCATAATGAAAAGTAAAATGGAAGAAATTTCTAGACTGAAGTCTAATTATACTTGAGTCAGTAATTTGTCATGCTTCCTATATATAGTAATGATTATAGTTAACATTTAATTAACTAGCATTACTTCAAATATTTATTCCATTTAAAATCATAATATCTAAGTACTATATTTGAGATATTTAAACAAGTTAAATGTTAAATGCCTTTTCTTTCAGGAAAAGAAAAAAAGACAGAATTAACTTCAGACTTTTATATTTTTCTTTAAGTGCATATGACATAATTTGCTAGGAAATATCAATTGCTTCAACAAAGACACTATTTTGACTAAACCATCATCATGAAGTAAAGTTTCATTGCACTTGCTTCTTAGCAGCATTATAACTAAATACTTACTTGTTCAGTGTGAGGTCAAGAATGAATTTGGAGCCAAAGGCTTCAATCTGGAAGCTTGCCTGGGCCAGATGGACAGCCTATGGATTCAAAGAGACAGAAAGAACCTTAGCTTACTTTCCTGTCTTTAAAGCTGATTATATTGATATCAATGATATTAAATAAGAAAAATATTTTTATGGATTGATGCACTTCTTTTGGGATTCTTACGTAACAATCCATTTCTTTAAAAGGCTACTCGGTGCATTGTCGTGGCTTCACTTGGAAGACGTAAATATCTGTGTAGCAGGGAACTAATAAAAGATAATAAATGAACCCATTGTGATAAAAATCAAGAGCATATTCAGCTGGACTTTCAAAGTGACTATGATGAATTATGCAAAAGTCTGACTAATTAAGGCTTGATTTCAGCCTATTTTGTGCACAAAGCTAACCAATTCTTTCTGCACACCTAAGTGAAAAATCATGTCAGCACTCTGCTCTTCATCAGAAATTGGAACGTTAAATGGTGTATCAGCAGAATGTGGCAGTAAAATGCAAAAGCACAACCTTTTACCTTCAGAAAGCACTTAGAACCTTGCCCTTTGTGAATACTCAGAGTTTCTGTCCCCCTTTAAAAGTCACACATTTACAAATACTGTCATTATTGTGCCTTAACTCAAAATACAAAGACAATCTCATCCAAACATGAGTCATATGTACTAGGTGTTAAAGATTCGTTTAGTTCACGGAAGTATCTCGAAAAATGTAAATTAACAAATCAATGTAGTTTTGTTAAAGTACCACCAAAGATAAAATTCTCCTTTATCCCCCATCAGAAAAAAAAAAAAAAAAACGAACAAAGAAGGATAAACGCAACACCTACACTCCCTCCCTCTCCCTGCTCACAAATATCCTTCCTGCAGACTTCATTCCTAAGGTACGATGATGTCACAAATCATCTAAGAAGTGGTCCCCAGTCAAGCACAACTACTGATGGGATAATCATTATCATAACCAAAACACAAAATAAAAAGGAAATTTACAAGTATTAAATTTTAAATACAAAGCAGTGAGAAAGAAGGAGCCCAAATCCCTGACCCCTCGGCACACCACGTCAAACCACAATCATGGAGAACAGGGTCATCGTACTTGATCTGGGCTTCCTGCATCCAGACAACTACATGAGAGAGAAAGAAATTTCTCTCTTGTTAAATGAGGTCTCCATCATCTGCAGCAGAACCTCTATCTTCTGACACAAATATCATATACTCTTTAACCTAATTCATTGTGTCTTGAAGCCTTAAATTTTGCATGGGAAGATTCTGATGAATAATTTGTACAAGGGGAAAATTTTTTTCACTTCTGTGTCCCGAAAGTGTAAAAAAAAAAGCAAAACTTACTTCCTGAGGAATAAGATAGGCCCTTAGGCATATTCTCTATTAAGAATATTAAACAGCAAAGAAGAGTTCATTAATGCCACCCTGGCCTTAAAAAGGTGATAAATGTACCTCCTTGAGCAAGTTTATAAACACTAAAAAGAACCTGACAGTAACCACTAAAAGGCTGTTCTAACACCAAATAAGCAATGAGACAAACACAAACCCCAACAAAAGCCTGTTGTAAAATAAAGTAGCCAAGAGGAACCACTTACCCCATGTTCTAGACACAATTTGATCACCATTAAATAAGTTTATAGTGAGTCAATGTGACAAGATTCAGTTTAATAGAATTTAATGAAGGACCTAGCAAATAACATTAATATTGGGATTTTCCTTTTTTTTTTTTATCCATTCACTCCCCACACAGGTGGTAAGTCCCACTGTGTGCATAAAGGGGGCCGGGACACAGCCCCTGCCTTCAAGGGAGCTGCTGTCCCCAGGGAAGCAGGGAGAGCTGAGAGCCTCAGTGGGCCTCAGGGGCCTCAGGAACCAAGACTTCACTGACAAGGTGCAGTTTGAAGAAAATTCCGAAAGATGACTAAGAATCCACCTGCCAGGAGAAGAGAAGACGTTCAGGGCATGGGGAAAAACATTCGCAAAAATAGATTTAAAAATGAATATGGGAAAAAAGCCTTCTTTAATTTTTTAAAAATTAGTATGGCCTATAAAGAAAACAGCTTTTGGAGGAAATGTCAAACACTGAATCTGAAAAGGTGGACTTTGTGTGATGTGCTCATGACCTGTCTGATAACACAGACAGACGTGTGGCCAAGATAGCAAGCCTGCCTCTAAATGTGTCCCCCGCTTACTCTGCATGGTGTCTGGCACATGACCTAGCATCACCACCATCACTAGTACCAGCACCAACACCACCATCACCATCATCACTAGTACCACCACCACCAGCACCAGCACTAGCACCGTTACCACCATCACCACCACCACCACCACCACCAGCACCATTACCACCGTCACTACCAGCACCAACAGCACCATCACCATCAGCAGCAGCAGCAGCACCAGCACCACCAGCACCAGCACTAGAACCATTACCACTATCACCATCAGCACCAGCACCATTACCACCATCACCACCACCACCACCAGCACCATTACCACCATCCATCCACACCAGCATCATCACCAGCACCAGCACCAGCACCAGCACCACCACCATCAGCACCAGCACCATCACCACCAGCATCAGCACCACCATCACCACCACTACCAGCACCAGCACCATTACCACCATCACCACCACCACCACTACCAGCACCAGCACCATTACTGCCACCACCACCACCACCAGCATCAGGACCATCACCACCAGCACCAGCACCATTACCACCAGCACCATCACCACAAGCATCAGCACCACCACCACCACCACTACCAGCACCAGCACCATTACCAACATCACCAGCACCACCAGCACCAGCACCACCACCACCACCACCACCACCAGCATCAGGACCACCACCATCAGCACCAGCACCATCTCCACCAGCACCAGCATTATCACCATCAATAACGACATTATGAGGCAAACGTATTGACAGATTATTCTCTACAATAACTGAAATAATCACAATGCCATCAACAACATCCCTGTTTCTCCATGGGGAAAGAAAAAAATCTAATTGCAGTACCTTAATCAGTAAGAAGGTTTTAACATTTTAACTTATTGTAGTGCAAAGAGGCAGCACATTTTCCTACAAAATGATTGAAGATTTCCTCAAGCATTCATCTTCCTTGAACATACCTCAAAGAGAACTGGTATATGCATCTGATATATTTGTATCCATGTTAAGAAATTTCAAAACAATGGTATATGTTATTTTCCTTATGTTCTGTTTTCTCTTTCCACTGCTATACATACATACAATCTAAACAGAGTATAGATTCTTCTCTATATCGAAATAAATACCCAACAAATGCTACTTTTCTCTATCATTCTGTTACTTCTGCTCCGTCTTAGACATGATTGAAGTAGCCTTTAACTTCTGGAATCTCTGCCATTGCATATCAGTTGATCATGTTTTATTTAACAAAATACTATTCAGTTTTGATAACTGTCAAATTTAAATATGTTTTCAAATCAGGTAAAATGAGTCCTCGTCACTATTGTTTTCCAAATTACATTTTTGGATATTCTTTGTTTTTACTTCATATTAACCTACTTCTTCCAAATGACTGAAAAAATTTGAAGAATGGCCAAGATGAGTAGAAAGCTTTATAATACACAGCCACATCACTTAGTTTATTAAATATTTTAGAGATGACTAACTGACCAGGACCACTGAAACCCCTGAAAATACAAAGACTACTTCAAGTATTGCTCTTCTTTTACAAAGAAGGAACCGTCCAATGAGGTTTAGAAATGTGTTCAGTAATACATAATTGGATCCTAGGAATACTTCAGAGAAAAGTTCATGAACCACACATAAGATCATAATGGGTTATTTTCTCCTTTGGGATATCTGTTAAAAGGACTTGATGACTAACACTTGATTTTACAAGGACAGTCACTGTAATAGCACTGGGGAAAGAATGCTGCGTTTTACAGTCAAAGAGCATCATTTCACGACAAGAATAAGCACAGCCCTGGGCTCAGAATTACCACCCTGAAGGGCTGAGAACAGCTGTTGCCTAAGCACCTTGATATTTTTCTTTTGACTCAGAATCTGGCACAGGGAAATTACAGGAGCTATATAAACAAAAACAACCAAACTCAATTATATACACAAACCTCCTTCACTGAAGAGCAATTTACACATTTAACAATGTGCTTTTGTTTTTCTAGTTTTGTTTTTTTTTTCCTTTTAGGAGATGGCACCTAATGGTATCATATTAAATAACTTTAGAAGACTGTCAGGTTCCCTAGTGAAGACTAGCTTTGCAGCTTATCATCAAGCGATGTTATAATATTGAGCAATCGTGTACATTACATAAGCTGAAGACACACTGTTACATTTTCTTGGGACTTATATTCTAGAACAGTTGACATTAATATGGACACGAAGACAAGAGAAAAAGATGACTCTCTCTACTTATAGAAATAGAAATCAGGCATTTCCAGAGTACATATGTTTTCATGCAAAAATGCCTCACACATAATGAGTGTTCAATCAGTATTCTTTACTACTTGGCAAGGTTCCTGTGTTCTACAGAGTGCACACATAACCGAAACTAAATATAGGGAGTGGAAAGTTGACACTTTCCCAGAATTCAGAAAATATTATGAGACTGAATGTCATAATTCAGTTAGAAAGTGAGCAACTTGAATTAAGGTATCGAAGAGATCAATCACAACATCCTCTGAACAAGTGATGTACTTTAGTATGCTCTATAAGGTACATGGTTTGGGAAACAGAAGAAAATTTGGAAGAAGTTTTCCTGCTCTTAAGATAGATTCAGTTTATTTAGGGAGACACTCATTTAAGTAATGGAGAAAACTTAGCTGGAGTAGCATATCAATAAAACAAGCAATGTTTTACAAATGGACTGCAGAAGCCCTGAAGAGAATGAAGCAGGCCTAAGCAGACATCAGTAGGATCATTCCAGCACTGCTTTCGAAAGAAGAAGGTTGTGGGCTTCTAGGAAAGAAGATGCTAGAAAGATCACAATGTTGTAATTAGAGTTAGAACCCAAGGTTAATA